TTGTCTATTATTGCAAGCCGTTAAGAATTTTCACATCCATCTTGAAAGTATTATTTTTCACTTTTCAGACAAATATATATTCTAAGAACTTTATTGTTTAAAAACTTACAGGTAAGAGTCTCATCTGTTTTTGTTATATATATATTTTTTTGCGTACATAATAATTTCAAAATAAATTTAAAAAATAAATTTTTTATTAAAAAAAGTTTATGTTTATTAAATGATTTCTAAATAAATTATTGCAAGTTAATTCTTTTGATAAATAAATACGGTTTTGTACTGGATGATTTGTTAGGCTACAAATATATGATCATGTTATATCAACTTTTGCAGTTTTTTCCCTCCTCCCCTTTTTTATTGTTGCTTTGATAAATATTTTTACGCTGATTATGAATCGTATAAAAACATAGGTCTGAAAATCAATTAAAAGTGCTATAATTTAATGTTTAAGTTTAAAAAATTACACAAAATAACGCTAGTATTCGCCATTTTTACATTTTATATTTAACTTTTAGAAATAGAAAATCTTTTTTTAATTCCGCAACCTGTATAAATAAAAGTTTATTTAAATTAAAATAATTGTAAAAACAATAAATAAATATAAACATACAAAGTTGTAATAAACATTATTAGTGTATAGTCTAACAACAGTTAATGTTACACTTAAACATTTATTTACAGCTTTGTGTACATTTATCGTAATGTGTTTAAAGTATTATTAGCTTTCACATTTTCTTCTTATAAATGGTTCCATTTATGAAAAAATTATGTCGATCATTTAATTTTATTTGGATTTTTGTCTGTATATTATTTATTGTTGCCTTTAGTATTATAGTTTTCTATAATGATTGGAGCATCATACTAATTTAATACATAAGTTAGTTCTACTAATTTATTAATAAATCTGTATTAAATTATCGCATCATTACTTGATCTTCTGTTTTCAAATGTAGAAAGAAAAGTTTATTAGTGAGTTTTCATTTGATAGACCTTCTAAATATGAGTTGCTTTGAGTTGGACCTGTTTCACTATTTACAAATTCCTTGATGGGGCTCAATATTCAAGGTGAAATCTAACTTACGATGTAAGTATAAATCTTGTATTTCTTGCATCTAAAACTTTAAAAATAAGTTTGGTTTGCTCTAATGTCAAATTTTTAAAGTAGTTTTTTTTCTATAAATTCATTTTTTAAACGCTTCCATTTAAAAATATGAAGATTGTCAACAATGATGTTATTGATGTTTCGTTTTAGTATGTAGCTTATTCTTAACTCTCTAGTACTGAGGTAATAACTCCTTTTTATAGATTTGATAACTATTTTATTTTGTTATTTGATAAGAAAAAAAAAACATAAAAAAAAATTAATTTACATATTAAATTGAATAGCATTCATGTTTCTTTTGAGAGTTTGTTTATGGTGCATAATGTGTCACAACAATAATGTTGCAAATGTTAACGAAGTTATGCCAATAAATATAATGCCTACACAAATGTTATGCTGGATCTCAAGTTAAATGGTTTATCTTAATATGGGAAGTTTAAACTTAACCGAATAAGTTATTAGTATTTCTGTTTCAGTGTTCAAGTGAAGAAGAAGTTTTCTTAATTAGTTTTTACTGTTACTAATGAATAGATTTACTGAGTTTTATAAAATAAATAAAGTAGTTTCTGTCTATCAAAAAAATTTGAAGAGATTGAGAGTTTTTTAAATTACATATATAAGAAATATTAAAAAAATATAAGACAAAATTAAAACTGCTCAATTAACAATACATCAGGTAATAGCTTTTTTTTTACTTCATTAGTACTTTGGTATAAAAATACTTTAAACATTATTACTTTCTTATTAAATTTTAAAAAGTTGACTACCTTTATATAATTAGATTGTTTTTAGATATTTATCTGAATTTGCACAACTGCGTTATTTATCTAAGTTTAACGTTTTTTTTCGCAATGTTCATTAGCCTCTTTTTAGTGCTATCAAATACCTTATAATTACCAGGCACAGGTAGTAGTTAAAATGTTGTTTTTCTCCCTACGACTGAGAGGGCCACTACAGTCGAGGAGGCTACATTATTGTGGTTGCAACCCTCTCTCAACACCTAAACACAAACCTTAAAGAACAAGGCTGTTGCGCTGAGAAACAAGTTGAGCCTGGTACACCCAGGGGCTTGGTAGAGAACAAACTTGGAACCTGCGGTTAGATAAACAGATTTTATTTAGAAATTACCAATAATGAAGAAAATTATATTTATGTTTCAATAAAAATATTGTAAAAATTACATGTTAACAATGTAAATGATTTATGTTTAATCCTAATTATTTTAATAGAATAAATATTTTAATGGTATGCATCTTATTTAAAATGTTTAAGATACTTTAAACTGTAATCAGAAAGTGCAACCCTCGGAATAAAGGTTGTCATTTGGCAATGCCGACCTAACTGCCGACCTGAAAGTGAGGTCGGCAAAATTGTCCGACCTCGTTTCTATGTTTTATGGTAAGACCTTTGTATTATATTTTTTCTGCCAACCTGATGCCGACTTCTATATGATTGAGGTCAGCAAATTATTGCCGACCTCATTTTTCCTGATTGAAACTGCATATGAAAAAATGTGCGAGGGTTGCACAGTGACAACATTTTCAAGTCATCTATCTATAATAAAATGTTAAACTAATTTATCACAGCATGTTATGTACTTTATATAAAGATGCTGTAAAGTAAATATTGTCACTTTTGTAATGAGCCAGACTTATACTTTAGGAAATTGAAGTAATCACAAACTTAACACAGCAGTGCAAAGAACAATTGAGGGTAGTCAGGAACTAAAAGATGGTTTTCAGTAAGCTAGCTCCATCAACACTAGGTTCTAAAGTTTCTAAAATTTAATAAATTGTGCTGAAGGTGCTAATTGAAAGAACACCGTACCTACAGATGAACATACTTTTGAAGCTATTATTTCAGCTTTAAAATCATTTTAGATATCATACGTTGTTTTTTTTTGCTGACATAGAGATCCTAACTGACGAGTTGCTGTTAAAAGTAACTGCTCTTATTAACTTCATCGAAAAAGGTGTTAATTAGCGAAAAAATTCTTGAAGGACTAAAAGTCAGAAATTCCTAAACAAATCCCTTATACTCGTTTTCTGTGTTATTTTATATATATATATATATATATATATATACATATATATATATATATATATATATATATATATATATATATATATATATATATATATATATATATATATATATATATTTGATATTGTTGGTAAAAATATCTAAAAACTCATTGACAATTAGCCCAAAACTAAATTATATGAGAATTCGTCATTATATGCATCAAGCTTAAACTCAAACAATGCTGGTAATGACTCCGTGATTCTGGTAATACAAAAATTGTGAAAAGCTTGTTATAGGGCTATTTAAAAAAAGATAAAACTAAAAAAAAGAGTAAGGAAGGCACTAACCTACATCAATAGCGAGAAAATCCATCTACTTTATGAGAAACTAACAGATACTAAAAATCAAGAAGGTCTAAACATGAAAAAAATATTGATAATGTCTTCCACATCATCTAATTTGGCATTTTTGCTTCTGTCCTTGTCATCACTAATTATAGATATGATCTTGACATGTTTTAAAATAATGTTTAAATAACGCCGAACTATTCCTCTCAAGTCATGTCATAAAATGGCCTATGGAAACAGAACGTTAAAATGAAAGTGATAAGGAACATTAACTTGACTTAATATCAGAGTTAATAATAATATAAGACTTTTCAAAAACAACAAATGGAAACTACCCAAAGTGTTCTAGTTTACTAAAAAATAATCTAAATCTTCAAAAGCTTTTCTTGTATTTTGTTTATAATAAACTCACAAAATCACATTTTCATTTTTTTTTTAATCAAACAAAAAAATGCAACCGTTCGTTCTTAAAATTATTTTTACTATTAGTTTTGTGTGTTATTTTAAATCAATACTAATAATACCTACATTAACTTACAAAAGATACTAAATGATATACTACCATTCCTCTCGGAATTGACACGATACCAATTATTTAGTGCTTAAACTAGTGTTCTGGATCGAAGCCATATTTCTTTAGATTGAAGCTATATATTTTTTTTAATTTCTCAATTTTGAATGCAATTAATGCTGTACAGCTATAATCCTACGATAGTTTTTAAATCAATACATCAGTAAATTCACTTTTTTAATCAAAAATATTTCTTGTATAATACCTTTTTTTAAAGGAAGAAAAATCAAATACTTTTTTTAAAACGTGTAGAATGGAGGCTTTACACCAATATCAAGACTAAATAATGCTAAGCACGCAATTAAAAAAAAATCCCCTGACTCGAAAATATTTTTTTATTCAAAAATAGATATATTTTTTTGTTTATAGCTATTTTTCCAGAGCTTTTTACATTACTTGAAACTCGGAGATAATGTAAACTTTAAAAATAGATATGTCAAGTGAGCAAAGAGACCAAATTTAAAAACAAGTAAAAATCATAAACAGAAGTTCATCAGATTGTGATTTCAACTCGCATAAAGTTATCCAAATATAAACATTCATCTAAAATAATTGTCAAGTTTTTAAACAAAATATTTTGATGTCACCTACCCAGAGTGACGTGATGTCACCTACACCACATGTGACGTGAATATTTTCTTGTGGGATAATTTTGTTATGGAGGGGTAAGAGATTCAAATATTATACTTAAATCACATTAAAGAGGGAGGGTTATAAAAGGAAAATAAATGTGTCACAATTTACTTGAACAGCCCCTATATATCATTGAAGTTTTAATGTCTCAATATTTATTATTAAAAATTAACTTAACTTGAAATTAAAAAATCATTGTTTTAGTAACTACTGACTCTGAAAACATAAAAAACTTTTTAAGAAAACATAAAGAATCTTTAACTCCTATGATTTACAACCGCAAAAAAATATACCTAATGTTAAGCGAATAGAAAAATCTTACTAGATTAATTGATTCATCCGTGGAACTTTTTCTAAAACGTAAGTATAAAATTATTTAACGCAATATGTTTTAAAAAATATATAACGTTTCAACAAAAATTATAGTGAACATGATGAAGTTTATATCAATAACCGGATTATCACTACTCTATAAAAGTTTTAAAAAGTCTTACATAAACAACGCGAGAATCAATCTTTTCTCTTTTATATTTAAGTAGATATAAATTTTGTAAGCGTTAAAATTTTTTATTAACGTTGCCTTTTTTTTATTTCACATTCAACATTCGTTAAACGCAATTTATAAATCAAAAATATGCCGACAGCTTGTGACGTAAGTTGTCGAGTAACCTTTAACAACCTTATTGCTGATTTAATTTTTAATATTGATCTAATTTGTGACAGAGAAAAAGAGCTTTTGAAACTAAAAACTTTGATTGTCAGTTTATTAGGTATAAAAGTACAATTTTTAAAAAAAATACAAATTATTTTAAAAATTACAAAACTTTGTAGATTTACAAAATACTAGGTATATATTAGATATCTATAAATAACAGTGTTAACTCAAAATGATTAAGAATAAAAAGTGTTAACTAAAATAAAAGTGTTATCTACTAATAAAATTTTTTTATTATTTCTCCTTTTGCTGAGTCGCAAAACCGTAATAAATCAAGTATGAATAAATTAAGCAATTTTTTTTTGTTACGAGTCCTAATTAATTTAGGCTACAGCTAAGTATTTGAGGAATCAGTGGTTGCAAAATTTTTTAAAAAATATTAAATTTTGATGAAGATGCTAATCAACTTAATATAAATTATCAATGAAAGAAAATTCCTCAAAAAAAATGTTTCACAACATTTTAAAAACTTTTAAAGATTCATAAAAGTACACATGTTACTAGTCTCTTATAAAATTTAGAAATTAAAAAAAAAAAATAATTCAAGTTTAAAAAAATTTACACAAATTAAAAATACTAAACGAGAAATTCTTTTAAACTACTGTTCTTTACCAAACCAATAAAACTTAATTTAAAAAAAAAAGCGTTACAGTAGGTAAAAAGTGGCACTGTTCAGTCTAAACATCTAAACATAGTTTTAGCTGCTTTAACTGAGGAGAACGTGTGAATAGCGTTTTGTCCTTTGCAAATACTTTTTAAGTCAACGATAAGATTAAGTACTGATTCGTCGATAATGATTTTTTTTTGTAAATATGTATGAAAGTCAATACTCAATGAACACAACAAAAACTTAATTTGTCTCAATGAAAATTCTTTGCTATAGTTTAAAAATAAACTTTTTAATATATTTAGAAATTAAACTTGTCATAAATTAAATCTTATGTTTCAACAAAAAGTCAAAAACCTACATCTTTTATTCTACTTTTATTCTCCCGTACACGGCAAGTGACGTTTATTAACTGTCAAAAAAATTTCCCACCCACCCCAAGTTTATTAGATTCCCTCCCTTCCCCACCTATTCCTCCCCGTTTCTCTTTATATAATTTAATTTGTCATCAACAAAAAATGTGTTAGCATATCAAATCCTATTCAATTATGGTGTAGCAGTTGTTAAAATAAGCGATTTTAAAAAATAAAAAAACTTGATTGGTCGAAATTTTAATCATAGGCCGACATTATTTCGACTTTTTTATTTGTCATTTTAAATTGTTAGTCATTATTAACTTGAAATTAGGTTTTAAATCAATTCCTACCTACTCTTATATAAGGATCTCCCATTCTTCCCTCATTTGTTAATTAGATCTGGACTTAAATTTCCTATCACCGTATCCTTCTCTTAAACATGCGAGAGTCAATTAAAATACATAGAGTCTCTTTTTCCATAGGTTGGCAAAAAATGTCTAAATTGTTTTAATTAAAAAGCGTTTTACAAAGTATTATTGCAAAATTATGCAACAACCATGAAAAATAAAAGAAAAAAAGTTTTTAGGTGAAGGTTGCATCTTAACATGTAATAATTTTTTGCAGCTGAAATATTATAATACTTATATTCAATTTTGTAGATTATTATATTTAATTATATAATTAACCTTCCCTCTTAAAGAATATAAATGAATATTTCATTTAAAAAAAATCTTTATATCAAAAATTGCGTTATTTTAAACACCCAATCATTCTAGACTAGGAAACCAGTGTTCAAAGATGATGGAACTGAAAAAAACTAAAAATAACAAAAAAATAATCCAAAAATAAAAAAAAATTTGCTTAAGCTCTCTTTAAAGCTTTTTAGGGGTGCTTTTATTAATTTATTGCGGAAAAAGTTGCATCATAGTAAATTAAACTTTTCTTTTTAATTAAATATTACAAAAATATATATTATGTAATATTTTAAAACCTCGTTTTATATAAAATCATCAATTTTGTTTAATTTTAGATAATAATAATAATAACAATGAAGGAATGTATGTTAAATAGTTTAATGTTTCATAGTATTTTCTATAATGGGTCGTCTTTTCAAGAAAGCCACAAGTAAAGAAGATAAATGAAAATACAGAGCAACCTCAAAAGGCCACTGTTTTTTTTTAAAGTAATATATTAGTCAGTATATATTCATTTCTAAAGTATTCTTATTTTTATTTATTATCCTTTAAAAATAAAGTATATATATAAAAAAACTAAATCACTTAATACTATTGTGACATACCTGGGGATGATTTCATGTTTTAGTACTTAAGTTACAAACTTTTTAGACTTCAAATAGAGTTTGCAGAGATCGCTACCAATAATACGGTCTTGCTCGGGAAATTCTTTAAATTTTTCTACAGTACCATTGGCTGAAACTTTTGGATAAAATTCTGTTATCCATTTCTTGTGAAAATTTTTTAGCAACTTATTTCAGGAGCTTTAGAGTTTCTTTTGAAGTTGCTTAAAAACCTAAGTAATACTTTTTTCGGAAATATGGTGTCCACACAATAACCAAAGAAATGGTTTACAAAGAAATCTTGCCACAATAGTTATTGCACCAAACTTCCATACAGTGTTTCTTACTGTGGTGTCAGAATAAAATCCTACAATACACAAACAAACTTCAAAATATTCTAGGATATTCATAATACTTATAGCTATATCAATTCCCTCAACACTATAAGTTAGCACAACACCAAGTAAAATATCATCTTTGGTTTCAAACTCTGGGCTGGTTACAAATACCGATAGTCTAGCTGCAGCGGTTGCGTGTCTAGTGTTCTCCTCAATATGCTTTAAATTTTTACCATCAAAATGTTAAGCAAACATCCTATAAGCCATTAAATCAATATATTCATTACGTATCTGGCTTCCTTCCTCTTCTAAAGATTTGTAACTTCGTCTTCAAACAGATTTTCTACTTAACTTATGATGTTTAACATCTCCTCCTAAATAGCTTACTACGCTTGCAATAAGAAGGGTTTGATCTTGAATGCTTAGATTGTTGCTGCTGCAATGAGACTATCACTGGCTATAACCTTTTTAACTCTAAAGTATGCTGTCTAAACTAATCTCAACTTTTTGAGCTTGCTTCGTCAAAGTTAACATTATTATTTGGGACAAAAACTTTCGACTCAGCAATTACACTTAGAGCATCTAAATAAATATAAAGATTTATTTCTCAGTTATACATTTACTTCAAAAAATAAATAATTTTACTGAAAATGCCCATTATTAGAAAAAATTGTTTATACTCTCTCTTTTTAATTAATTAGAAGTTGAAATAAATATTTTTATATTTGGGAAAAGTTAGTAGATAAATCATTTTAATACGCTAAATCTTCGCAAAAAAGTTTAAGAAAAAAATACTTTCGAACATCTAAGTAGGCCAAATTCTCTTGTAAAGCAGAATTATTACGATGCATTGATTCATCGGGTCTCAACTTCTTCTCAAAGCCTTCTCAAAGCACTGATGTCAAACAATTGCTCTACCATATTGCAAAAGTTATTTTTGTGGCGTTCGGAAATATGTTTTTTGATTTGAAAGATTTTACTGTTGCACAAAATTTTGTATTTGCTGTATAGAGATTAAAACTTTTCCACTATACTTCTCTCAGAAACCAAGTAATTACTGAAACAAGCAGACTTCCAAACATTTACAACTTGTCGGAATAAATAGGATTTTTTGGTATTTGAACTACCTAATTCGACTTTTCCTTTGCTTATAATATCCTCTTATGCTCAAGAACGCAAAAGTTTTTTTTAATATGTTTGAATTACTTATCTCTAGCTGATGTTAAGAACAAGTAATATTGAAGATCGCTTTTATTTGATGGAAGTTGGTTTGTGGATAGCTTAAAGGCGAGTTAAGCATGTAAACAGACCTTTGAGTGTTACAGCTAATTTCTTTCGATTACTTCTCTTTGATTTTCAACATTTTGTATGGATATATAAACAGTAAGAAAAAATCAAAGTAAAAAACACAATAGTAAATAAAACAAAAATTGCCAATAGTAAATAAAACAAAAAGTAATTAAAAGCAAACCTCAAAATTTATGCTGCAATTAAATTTTTTTAATAATAATTGTAAATAGCCACAAATTGTAAAAGGCCACAAAGAAAACTTTTGAGTTTTTGACACATGTTTTAAAAATTTTCTAAATAATTTGAAGATAATAAAACAATGCAAAGAATTAAAAATTGCTTAGAACGTAAAGTTTTCAAATTTACATGTAGCTCTTCATGATTACTAAGGAATCTAAACATTTTTTTGTAGCATTTCTAAGTTTGGTAGAACTGGAAATTGTATTGCGGCTTTTTTATATATATTTTCTTTCACCATAGTAGACAAGTTTTAACATAAATGAAGGAGTTATAGTACCCTGGAAATAAGGAATTACCCGTAAATAATAAAATTAGGATAAAGCTTGAAAAAGAAATCCAAAACCATAATGAGAGTTACCAAAATTAAAGTCCCTTATTTTGGGTCACCTATATAAAACAGTGCACCCGACGGGCATTTCTTTTTAAAAGTTACGATCTAAATGTGTTTTAAATGTCTTTTAAACATTAATGTTTAAAAGACGTTTAAAAAACATTTAAAACACATTTAGAACGTAACTTTTAAAAACAAATGCCCGTCGGGCACATAGTGAAAAAATTAGTTTTATCAAAAATAAATAATCAAAAATGCATTGGAAAAATAATTGAGTTCTCTATAATAAATATAGAAACAACATATTTAAAAAATTATTTTCTTTCAAATTATCATGTAAAAATGCTTGTATCTTTTTATTGTAAAATCACACAATTCGATATTAAGTTAAATTGCATTGCAGTTTAGTATTTTAAAGTGTTTAAAGGAAAGTAATTTGTAAAGAACTAACGTAAATATAAAAAAAAAAACATTGGAAATGTATTATTCGTCATAGTTTTAGAAGAAAATTTGTTGACTCCAGGCAAAGCTATGTATCGATATCACCTCCTAAAAAGTTACGATCATTATTTGGTGCATGTTTTAATTAGAAATATAACTGTTTTATATGTAACAAGCAACCTGAAACGAAATTCTCTAATGTTGCTAAATTCAGTACATTACCATTGCAAGATAATTGAATAAGTTGATGTCTCCAACAGAATAATATGTTGGGAGAAGAAATTAAAGAAGGCTGCAACGACCTGGTAGTTTAAGAACCAGTGTACAACATAACTTGTATGACTGCTTTTAGGTCAGATTAATTAATTGAAAATAAAAAAGGTTGACTAACTGATACATTGTCGAATAAAAATTTTGAACGAATATGTTAGTTGCCAGAATAAGAATCCGATGGAGAACTTATGCATTAGCAGAAGTTTATCATAAAATGTCAAAACTAAGTGGGTGCAGTTCCTGCTACACAATCACGTCTTAAAAAAATAAATTAAAAGAATTTTACACTTAGATAAAACATTTAGACTTTAAAGAACTTCTTATTAAATCAAACTTTTTTTTTTTTAAAAATAGGACTTTGTTTTTACTTAACAAGTTAAATTGTTTAATAAAACCATTGACATTATTTTCCTAGCAGAAAAATTATAAAAAGCGATATAAGGAAATTATCTTCCTTTTTAGAAAAATAAGTTCCCTTCACTAAATAAGTTGGGAAATGTAGAGTATGGGATAGAATAGGTGCCGAACAGCCTTCTTTTATTTTCACGTCATTTCATATCTTTAGATCTAAAATTCGTTACAATTCCTATCGCAAAAGATATAAAAGCAATTATTGATTTAGGTCTAGATGCTTGTGCAATACATTGCCCAGTTGACATTGACAAACTGTTAGCCTCAAAATGGTTTATTAATCATCTTATAAAATTTGGCTATTCTGTTTAATCAAACGAAATACTGCTATTCAGGCAATGCGCAATTGAAAGCAATTCTATTAATGCAGATAACTACTCTAATAAAGTAGGTATTAGACAATATGTTGCCAATAATGTTGATCATAATATAATAACTCTTAACAAGAAAGACACCTTTAACGGTATGGGGTTAATTTCATTTTCGCATTTATCTACAAAACCTCTTTTAACATTTATGCGTCTGAAAAAGCAAAAACTAGCATCAGATATTGCAAATCACGTTGATTTTAACATAATTCCTTTTAATGGATAAAGTTATAACAGTTTGTTAATGCTGGTGTTGAAACCTGTTTATGAGCTTATGCAATTGTTCGTGCTTGCTAATGAACTGAATTACAAAATTACTGTTTTGTTTAATTTTATAAATCATTTATTAAAAAAAAAATCCTCGCTCCAATTTGTCCGGTTTCATGCAGCATAAAACTAGCTCCTCCAATATTTAAAAAAAAAGTAACAGATTTATTTCTTCTAATTATTGTTCTAAATCCAGCTTATGAAACTTGTAAATTTTTTACTTCTCCTTTTGTAATAGATGAAGCAAGTAAAAACGGGATTCATACACAGTCTATATCTTATGATTATCTATTATGGTTCAAAGCAACTGGTATCATCAAAAATCAAAAGTTAAAAATAGTTTGCAGACTCGATGGAGTTTATTTTCTATTGAGTTTTCTTGATAGCATTAAAGACACAAAACCCTAGGCAGCCATTGCAACCGAGGTATCAGCAAGAAAGAGTCGCAGCACTATAAGAAAACGTGAAAGAATTTCTAACGTACGTAAACTTTAAACTAAGTAATGTTAAAGCATATGTTAAAACTTACTGAAACAACTATCAAGATTTACAGTTTGATTTTCACTTGAAAGTTACATTGCGTCAAGCTCTCCTTAATTTTAATCTATAACATTTTTTTTTTTTTAAATTATTACATTATTTTAAATTATCTATGCCGTTGTAGCTCGAGTGGATAAGGTGTCGAACTTCTGATAAAGAAACTAGAGGTTTGATTCCACTAAAGCCAGCTATTTTTTTAAACTTTTTTCTATTATTTTAAAATACAAAATACTTTTGAAGTTTTATAAAGATTATATACAAACATATGAAACGTAACGATATTATGCACTCACAAAAGCAAAGACTTTAAGAAAGCTAAAAAAAAATCATCACCGAGAGAATAAAATTGTTGCGTATGTAGGTAGTCGGTAAAATGCGAACTGCGAACCGCGAACTGCGAACTGGTAAAATGCGAACTTTTTTGCAAACCATGGTTCTATTAGTTGTTAATGATGTAATACTTTATTTTCCGTTTGCCGTTAAATTTTTTATTTTCCAAAATATTTTAAGGACTACACGCAAAAGCATTTATTTAAAAAAACAA